TATATATATATATATATATATATATATATATATATATATATATATATATATATAAAATGCATAATAATAATAATAATATTAATTACAATAATAATATTAATAATAATAATAATAATATAATAATATAGTGTATAAAGAGCCAGTCAAACGGCCTGTTGAAGAGGCAGTCGCCGATTTGTTAAATCAGTCTCTTACAATCGATCCTCGTCCACGTGTATCTGTATCTGTATCTGGAGAAGGATCCGGAGAAGAGTACGAAGTAATTGGAGTTGGAGTGGATTTACCTCCGCGACCACCATGTCCGCGTGGTATATAACGTATTAATATATAAATATAAAAATTAATATATGTAACAACACAGACAGATTACAATATTCTCTATAGGATTCTTACATATAAAATTTTTAATTACATATGTATTATGTATTTAAATAAAAGTTTCTTAATTTTATCAGGTGCACCATTGACACAAGAACAATGGGAGAAATGTAAAGATTCAGAAGGAAGAATTATTAATCCAGAGGCTATCAAAGAAATCATTTTTCGCGGAGTATATATCAAATATTTTTTCAATGATATATTGATATTTTATATATAATGTAACAAATTCTATGATATATGATAATTCATTAGGGTATTTTTCCTTCACTGCGTTTTGAAGTATGGAAATTTCTATTGAATTATTATCCATGGAAATCGACGCATAATGAAAGATTAGAATTAAAGAGGAAAAAGACTGATGAATATTTCACGATGAAATTGCAATGGCGTACATTCACGCCCGCGCAAGAGACTCGATTTTCCGATTATAGGGAGCGAAAAAGTTTGATAGGTAAAGCAGTTAAGTTACCATTTATACGAAAATAAAATCTTACATTTTTTGTAATAAGTATTGTACATCTTTTAATCTTATTTCAGAGAAGGATGTAAATAGAACAGACCGAACACATCCTTATTATGCAGGAGATAATAATCCTCACTTAGAACAACTGTATGACATACTCATGACCTATGTAATGTACAATTTTGATTTAGGATATGTTCAAGGTATGAGCGATCTCCTTAGTCCTATCTTATTTTTAATGGATAATGAGGTTGATGCATTTTGGTGTTTTGTTGGATTCATGGATAAAGTGGTGAGTTTGATATTCTTTGCATAATAGTATACAATGCCAATACTTGCAAGTATATGCAATTTCAATTATAACAGAGCATTTATTTTATTAAAACAGAGCACCAATTTTGAGATGGATCAGAAAGGCATGAAAGCACAATTATGCCAATTGCATACTTTATTGTGCACTACGGAACCACAATTGGCATACTATCTAAATAGACATGATTCTGGCAACATGTTTTTTTGCTTTCGATGGTTGTTGGTACTCTTTAAGCGAGAATTTAGCGCGATCGATATATTAAAATTATGGGAAATACTGTGGACGGATTTACCTTGTAAAAACTTTCATTTGCTTATATGCGCAGCTATTTTGGACACAGAGAAGAATATTTTAATAGAAAATAATTATGGATTTACAGAAATATTAAAAGTAATTTTCAAAACTTTTTTTTATGACAATGATTATTATCTCTATCAAATTCAATTCAAAATAGTATAATGTTATTGTTTGCAGCATATAAATGATTTGTCACTTCATATTGAGTTACCTTGGACAATCTCTAAGGCGGAAGGTATTTATTATCAGCTTATGGCTACGGAACATCAGATTCCTGATGATGTTCGTGTAATTATCGGAATGGAGCGATTGCATAGAATGACATCGATGAATGGAAGCGATGATGAGGCATCTGGTAATAATGCCCGAGTTAATGGTACTCGAACTAATAATTCAAGGAGAAATAGTTCAAGTAGCGCCAATGTTAAATTAGGAGAAGATGAAGTATCATTCGAACGTGGGTTGAATACGACGTATATGTGAGGTCTGGACTGGAGCTTTATAATGATTTACTAATAGAAAACTGATTGAAAGTCTCTCAATTCGAAGAATCAAATATCTATTACAGTTTTTATTTGAGGTCTTATACATATGATTTCAAAAATATTCTTGACAATAATTTCCATGCGCGGCTTTCAACGAAATTAGATAAGAAATAAACAATGCTTTGAAAATGCTTTAAAAAAGCATAAACAACAATAGCACCTTTCTAAGCATAGTAATTAAGTTTTTTTCGATTGATAGTAGATGAAGTACTTTTTTTTAAATATTGTGATTGACTGATTGTGATTATAAGCTTGAAATTCTAAAGCATAAAAAAATGAATGTAATGGATACATTCTCAGAAGTAATTAAGGAGTGTGTTGAATTTTGAGATATTTATAAGATTTACTGTATAGAGCGACAAAAAGAGAGACAATTATTATAGTGTTTGTGTGTGCAAAATATGTATAGATATTTCAGTGCAAAAAAAAAACTGTCTCACTGTAAATGGCTGTAAAATGCGACTTTTGAATGTGCTGAAACAGGATAAAGATAACATCTCCAGATCTTGATAAGAGTGTTATATATACATAATTTTCGCTTAAGTTAGTCTCTTTTTTAGATTTGTATAAAACCTCACAACATATTACTGTATATTTCTAATAAAAATCATCTATTTAATCTTTCATATATTTTTGCATTTTTTTCATGTGCCAATATCGAGGATTCATGGTATCTTTATATAGTAGGACATTTTAAGAAATTTATTCTGTGTTCAAAGGGTTGGGATATATGCACTAGAAAAAAATTTTATATATTATAATATAAAACTCTCTAATTCGACATTTCTTCAGAAAATATCTTCTGAATGCTTAGTCAGTTTTGGAAACTTGATCATGAGTTGTATTTTGGTTTATCTTTTTCAACTTATTTCAATTTAAAATAATAATTTACAATGTTTAATGTTGTCGGCTTACATTAATATATCATTTTGTTTTTCTATATATAAAATGTAGAGATTATAGAGTATAAAGAAAGATGTGCAGTATAAAATAGCTAAGTTTCCATTTATATAAAAATAAATGTTTTTACGTTTTGAAATAAGGATGTATTCTAATCAAAATCAATATATTAAAAAATAGATTCTCTCTAAATCTATCCATTCCCTCTCTTCCTCCTCCTCGTAATATCAAGTTTGATGTACTAAATTTCTCTAAAAGCAAAAAAATTAATAAAATAAGCAAATGCTTGATCAGATTCCGTCGTTTCGTGACGGATGTCATGGCGTTCGTACGGGGATGTAAACAATGGAGTTGACGTAAAAAATCAGCTGAATTTTTGTAAACTAGTCTATTTCTGAAGTATGGAATTTGTTGCCACAAAACGGCGCAAAAAGTGGAAGAAAAAGCGATACCTGAAGAGAAAACAGTTACACGAGCGAATTAAAATTGAGGTTAAATCCGCGAAGCGTTGGGAACTCTTGCCAGAATATATTAATCCTTTCGAAGTGCAAGAAACACTAGGAACGAGCACGATGCAGGCTGATACTTTTTGGAAAAATTATGCAATAGCCCAGGAATGGCAAAAAAGGTAGGTTTATAAAACAAATAACAATTATCCTGCGTTCTCTCTTTTTCCTGCAATCTTTTTTCTTCATAAATTTATTTAAAAAATTCAATAGATTGCATTAAAGAAAAATAATTATAAATCAAATATATATAGAGAACGAGAGAGAAAGATACTAGCTTCTTGCAAAAGATTTAATTGTTTAATAAATTGCTGTTTACAGACATAATGTAACCTGGTGGAGATCACGCTGCCTTGCTCTTGAATATGAGAATGAAATGCTGCGCAATAAAGTGAGATTCTTAGCTCAGCATCATGCCTATCCTAATACAGTAATAATTCAGGAAAACAATCATTATAAAGAGAATAATGATAAAGATGTACAGAAAGAAAACTGTACAGGATCCAAATCAGACATTGAAGATGTTGAGTTTAATGTGACTGAAGATGTTGAGTTTAATGTGACTGAAGATATGCTAAACTTTTTTGAAACGAGCGAGAGACACAGAAGACAGTTGAAGCAAAAACAAAAATCTAATGAGATTGCGTATAAGGAGGAATACCTTGTAGAAGAAATTCCCATCATTGATAGCGCTGAAAGCGTTCGTACAAGGAAACAGGAAGTAGACTTGTTGTATGGTGATGACAGTTCAAAAATATTAGCAATGGAAACTGCTTTGCAAGCTGCAACAAACAAATATAAAGATACCGTTAATCCTCAATATTGGCCCAATATTCCTCTCAAACCTTAAAATAACCAAGCTAATCTAGTATTTTATTTTCAAGTTCAATGTATTTTGAACACTTAAAAAAAAATATATTATTTCAATACATCATTAATGTTAAATTAATTATTAAATTGCTATTTCCATCTTTTTTTATATCCTACATCTCATTGTAATATAGCATTCCTCCGTTATTACACAAGATGACCAAGAGATGGAGTCACCTTAATATTTCTGCGTTCGAATAGCATCTAAAAGTCTTTGCATGTGTATGTAACAAAGAAATATGCAATTACAAAATTAGAAAGAAAAAAATTCAAATATATTATTTTTAACATTTTCTTCCGAGAAATTATAATATAACATTTACTTTTTCCGCATTTACAATCCATGAATTGAATTGCAACATATATTAGACTTGCAGAGGTGTTAGATTCAACCAATCGCGACAGAAGCACAATATCAAGTTATTTCTCTCGCTTGAGTGCAGCAACCGCGCGCGGCCATAAATGACACCCATCATAATGAAATACGCCGGGGGAGGAAAGCAATTAATAGCTACTAATCTAAAACGACGGGGCACAATTATACTCACATTATTATTACTCGAATCAGAAATAATTGATCCAAGCACTCTATCACAGTTTGAAAAATATTATTACTCCACGATGCACACATGAATAAGTTGCATTACAAGATGTGTGAAATAGTCTTATATAGATCTAGTGAAAAAAGTTTTAGTACCTATTAACTATATTTTATGCAAAGTACACACTGTTCGAATATTTTCTGGATAATATTTATACGAGGAAAAGCATATTTTACGCACACCTTGTATCAAACACCTCTTAAGAATAATGATACGGTATTAGATTATCAAGAATCTTTCAAAAAAATAAAAATTGATTTATCTATATAAACTCTTGTTATATTAACACTGCATTCCGTCGTAAATTCGTCAGGTCAGTGTAAAGTCTTGCAATTTCATCGTTCGTGCCAAGTTTGCGCTGAAGTTTGCACCATGCCTGCGTAACTCAATTATCGTGCATTGTGTTCGTGCCTTTGGTAGCACTGCATAGCGCGTAGATTTACCGTGTGCACGACGAGGCGGGAAAGTGTGTGCCGCACAGATCAAGGCCGTAACTTCTGCATGGATAAAGGTAAAGTGGTTGAAATTAAGTATTCAAGGCTCCCTCCTAGTCAGTCTCTTTTGTCGTTGATTGAACGTGGCATTGCTAGAATGTGCTCAACGCCCTCGAGAAACGCGAACGTTGCGCGAAAATAGACCGCTTTGTACATGATACGCGAGTAAGTATTTTACACAAAAGTCGAAAGTGTATTTAACGTATTTAAAATTTTAACTGCACCTAGCTTAGTCAATGTTTCGCAAGAGAACTCATGAGATTTAAATTTATCGAGACAAGTTGTTGCGATTGAAAAGCTCTCGAGCGTGAACGAAACGTTTCGATAAGAGACATCGTGCCGCCGGATAATTTGGGGAAACGGGAGACAGCCCTGCCATATATCGGTGATAGATAGGAGCAGGACGCGCCTCTGTGGTAGGATCGTCAGTACGTTATCTGTAGACCGAACCTGCGGACATGGACCGTAAGATTCTCAAACCAGTCCGTGAGACTCGAGACGACGATACCTTCGTCAGGAAAAAAGCTCCTAATTATCGAAATAACGCGTGTCGCGGTGCCGATATCCCGTTTACGTGTGTCGGACGAAACTCTATCTTTCTACCATACTCCCACGGAATATTCAGACAGCTGGATCTTGGTTTTTCCTTCGAATCTAAATTATTCTATCCGCGCGAGTTGGTGCTTTTTTTCTATCTTTTTTTCCCCGAAGATAAATGTAAACGTGAAAGAAGTTAAGATTGTCTGCATTGTTTATTCCAGATAGGAACGAAGTACGATCTAATTGAGACTTAATAAACCTGAAGATATAATAACGTAACGAGAGTTATCGAATGAAATTAACAATTATCATTTTAACGTTATTTCATGATGGCTATAAATGTCATCATTATATCGATACACGTATGCATGGTATATGATTGGTTCAGCTTTTACATCGTGCAATATTATTTCTTTTTATTCGACAAGCTATGACTTATAGATGGCAAGTTTCCAATCAGTGTAGAACACGTAACATGCAAAATGTCCTTCTTCTCTTTTCCTGGTAAACCGGTCGGTCCTACGCAAAGTAGCTGCGCTCGGGAGAGTCGCTTTATATTCCCTCTACAACTTTCATTTAGATCTTTATCGATCGACTTTCACGGTGTGCTCGCGTATCGCACTTCATTGCTTCGCTCCCGACTTAGTCCAGTAAAATAGTATCAAAAACACCGAATATCTACAAAACGGATAGACAAGCCAATTTTTTGAGGGTGAGTAGAAGGTCATAGGAGATGCCCGAATTCACAAAGTTCCAACAAAATTTCCCTGTGCGTCGGCGGCCATCTTCAAAATAGGGGTAAGTTTGGATATCTCGGCTCCTATTGATCGAATCTTTTTCTTTTTTTTTAGTTTTGTAGGAAAAAATATTTGCTACAACTTTTGTTTGCAAATTTTTTTAATAGCTTTGTTGGAACTTTGTGAATTCGGGCATCTCCTATGACCTTCTACTCACCCTCAAAAAATTGGCTTGTCTATCCGTTTTGCCATTTTCAGATACTATTTTACTGGACTAACTGCGATCCTTGTACTGTGAAATATAATATCGGTGACTTGTACATTGAATTTTTTTTTTTCACCCTGTTATTTCGATGAAGATCGTTACGGAGAGCTTTCATAAATTGCTATAAATATCTCAATTAATTCAAGAATTAATAACAAACATAACACACACTATACGTAAAGAACGAATGGTCCAAGTACTAAACTTTTATGAATATATGTATGTATTCTAACACTTTATACGTAATTATAATTATACGCTAATTATTGTCCATTATTCGTGAATAAGCAGTTTATTAAATCGCATTTTTTAACGTCATGTATTTTTTCAGTACAATGCGTTTATACTTTTTTTTTTGCTCAATATATAGGAAAAAAGTAAAAATTGTTAAATTGATATTGTCGAATGTGTACATTTCTGCAATTACATAGGCTCTTAAAGCAATTTGTCTTTAATTACCGAGAGACATGTTCTTTGAAAGAAGAGAGACGCGAAAAATAAATTGAAGAACACTCGTTTTAACGAAGTGTTCGGAATCCCTCACCTCTGTCTTGTCAATTTCCAGAGATCGCGCACGACTCTCGAATTTATTTTATTTTATTTTTGTTTTCGCGAGCAATTTCGCCCTTCCATCATCGCACCCTAAGATCGTCCTACCGCGCATTTGCAATCTCATTGGGACGTTTTAAGGCCCACCTCCGTACAAGATGGAGTCGCCATGGATGAAAAAGATTCACAGGGCGGACAGAAAAGTAGCTTGCGCTTGCTTTTTATCGCGTTCGTGTCATTAGCGCGGCCCCAATGAGTCCTATAAGTTCATATCAGAGAACCGCATCGAGAGAACAGAAGTTCGCGAAATCCTCTGAAAGAATGCCG